CGTGGCACCTAAGCAGAGGCAGCAAGAGGGACAGAACATAGCTATCCCTTGATGGAGTTTGTCCACCAGTGTTAAGTGTTGCTATTCTTGAAAGGGTTGCCAGGGGGTCCCTACAGACCCCAAGTTGTCAGGGTGTGAACTTGACTTCCCCAGAAAAGGAGCTGTGCAAATAAGGTGGAATTGGCAAAATTTTGCTAATGTGAAGAGAGGGTTCCGTTTTGCCATAAGGCTACTGTTAGTGAGGAGCTTCTGATACACTGATAGCAGCTCTACTGGTTTCCATCTTCATTAGAGAGCTTTACAGATACCATCTCACTGTAAAATACCATTAAACCAAAGAGAAGCAGTGACACAGCAAGAAAGAAAAAGGGAGCACAGACCCTTTACGTTTTTAAACAGTTCTTAGCGCTGTGTTATAACTAGCTTTTAATTTGTTTTAATGATAGATACATAGAACACTTGCTAGCTTGAGTTTAAGCAGTGCAAGGTGCCGTGATTAATCACTAACATCACTTGATCGCTGGACGGTTCTATATTTACGTGCAGTCTAACACCTGAAAAAAAGAGGGATAGGTTGAAGAATGGATCTGCTGCTTTGGCACATTGCACATTATTTTCTAGTTTCCTAGAGGAGACAGGGATGATCTGCTGGGCAAAGCCACTCTAGTCATCGTTACTGCATCATTTTTCCATGCTCTCTCCCTCCCAAGCTGTTTGACTAAAGCCTTCATAATCACTACAGACCTGATGATTTGGGTTTGGCACACTGAATCCTGCACTTCTTGCTTTCCAAAGTAGAGGTCTTGGTTTTGTTTTTCCCCTTCCCATGTCAGTTGCCTACAGCTGTGTGTGTAAATCCGCTGCACATAAATCCAGGCTGACGGTAAACTTCTCAGTGAGTTTCCCGAAGGGCATTTCTCACAAGCTAAGAACTTGAAAAGGTCAGAAGTATTCAGTTTACTTTGCTGGAGGAAGCATTCACATCTTTCTCCTGGGGACAAAGGGACAGAATGACACCATGCTATTAACATGTTGTGATCTTAAAGCTCTTGCCTGTATGATAGCTGTAACTTACTTGCCACCTTATATATACCTCAGCTGTCAGACAGGCCCAAGAGCACAGATCTGCCTGGGGAGTTCATTGACTTACCTACACACGCACACACACAAGAATTCTCTTTTTTAGTGGGTTTGGAAGTTACGTAGCCTTACACAAATTAAAACCTATCTTTCCTCCTACACCCATGCTTTTACTCGTTCCTCATACAGTTTGACTGTTTGAAATCGACTGTAATTTGACCTAAAATGTGAGCGAAATAATCTCTTGGGGAATGAGGTTTAACCCTTCTGCACTCAGCTGCGTGGAGGCACCAGGTGCAGTTGCTCTGGGAGTGGGAGATGGATGAACGCCAGAGCGAGAAGACGAACGAGTTCTTGGGGATTGTCTAGGACAGGGCAACAGGTGGGATCCGGAGGAGGAGGAAGAACAGGGATTCATTCAATGAGGTGTTTAATTCTTGCTGGAAAATGATGGGATAAACAATGCAAAGCTATAAAGACCCACAAGCACCTTCTAAGGTTTCTCATTTTGCCTTGTCGAAGCAAATAGATGGGCTGTTGCCGTTTTAGCCATTGTGTGATCGAGCCCCAGTCGGAGAGGGGCCGTGGTCCAATAGGTGCAATATGGGACTAAGATGCTTGAGTTCCGGACTGCGATACGGGTTGCTGCCTGAAATGTGGAGGGAGTCAGTCCACCTCTCCTACTGCCTGCCTGTTTTGTCTCAAGAATGAGCTTGGGGGCCGGGGACTGTCTCTTCCCATCCACTTGCATACTGCATAGCGCAATGAGGTTGTGGTTTCGGTAGGGCTTAGGGGCGCTGCTGTAACACTGTTACTGCTGCTAAATAATCGTAGATGACATGGTGATTAAATGCTGTTGGCTGTCAGTAAGAGATAACATTTAGCACTAATGTAGCAATACGCGTGTTCAAAGCACGGTGCGAACATAGACTAATTAATGCTTTTAACATCAGATAGAGATGTTAAATGTACCGCTGGTGTGATACAGTATTATTCACACTCTGTTCTTGTCTTTCAGACTTCAAACCCTATTGATGTAGCAGGTAGACCAGGCACAGTCCACCATACGCTGCTGCAGAAGACTCCAGGGGTAGGCAACAATATATAACCTTCCTTTCAGCTTATCTGGATTTACAGTAAACACAGTGATTGCTCATAAAAAAAAAAAGAGAGCAGCTGGTGAGCAAATTGGCCTTCTAGACTCTGAACAGAAGTTTCTTTTTCTGGTGAGACAACAGTAGCCTCCACCAGTCATGAATACAAAGGGATATATTGACTTCTTTAAACAAAGTCAGAGGGAAGTGGGGCAGGAAATCCCTTCAAGGTCTTTCCCCTAAACATTGCCTGGAGAGTAGTTTTATGCGCTCCATTTCAAAACGATTATAAAGTTCAGAAAAGCACTGGCACTGTTCAGTTGCTGGTGTGAAGCTGCTTTGTTTATCATAAAATTCTGCTGAGTTTGGTGCAAGGAATGAAAGAGAAGTTTTAAGCCTCCTTTAAGCCTTTTAGGTTTCCCGTGTCACAGGGGACTTCTCTGGAATATTGCTTTCTAAATGCTTGTATTTGTTCAGAGGAAGGAAGTTCCCCACCTTTCTGTATATTGGGTAGTTTTAGAAAGACTGATAGTTTTATTTCTGCTTTTTCCATAGGTGTCAGACCCTTATAGGCCTCCAGTAAGAGTAAGTAAGGTTTGTGGGGGATTTTATATACATATCTATGCACACATACTTCAAATATTGTGCATGTGTTTTTGAAATTTAACATGTCCAGTAGAAAATTTCACGCTCGTCCTTCATTTAAAGCAAAATGTCTTAGTTAGCTCTTAGCTGCTTCTGATTAATAGCGTTTAGCTTGAATCCCAACCTTATTTTGCATCCATTTATGTGCATTAATAGTTCACAGTATGAAATAAGGGTCACAAAAATAAATGACTGTGAGCATGGGCAGACATTCACCAGTGATCAGATTCATAGTGGCCTAGGTCAACGTGTTATATTTGTTCTTCTGATGTTCCACAAAAACACCCTACAGTGAGTACCGCAGCTCAGCTGAAAAGCAGTAACTCATTCAGCTGTGGCACTGCTCATCCCTGGTGATTGTTTGTCCGTACCCTTTTCCTCCCCAGACGCAAGCAGCCATAATAACCACGCGTGACTTAGCCTGCAGTGCAGCAGGGATGAATGAACAGGGCTCTTTTCAGAAAGAGAACCGTTAACTATTAGTTGCTTTCTCTTAAGCACGGCATACTGTTCTTTGCTGCCATTTATTTTGGTTTATGGAGGAGGGAGTGCACGTAGGAAAGAACAAGGCAGGGATCTCATGTCTCCATGAGATGAGGAAGATATACTGCATCCCACATTCTCCCTGTTTGCATCTTTCTCAATTTAAACATCGTCTGCTGCAGTACAGAAAAAAATGTTGATCACCTATTGTGCCGTTTTAGTAATCAGCCTTTCTCATTGCTTAGCTGCCTGTTTGACAGTAAGGGAAATGAAACGTTCTATCTGATGTAGATTGCTAACGTATAAATTAATCTAAATTCTTGTGCTTTCCATTGCAGAAACCCGGGAAGTGGTGTGCGGTTCATGTACAGATCGCCTGGCAGATCTACCATCACCAGCAAAAGATAAAGGTAATTCAGACAGTTTCTGGAACAAAGCCAAGTCTTTTGACTTACAGATTATATTTTAGTGAGTAATGAGCAGGAAGCAGTTGCTGTTGGTGATTCTCAAGCTTGCCTGTATTGATTAACTAGCACTTTCAATCCTTTAACATTTATTGTAGCAACCATAAAGTTTATCTGAGGGCAAAGGAATCGGGTTGAAGGGTAGCAAAATGAGCAGGAGATACTAAGTGCACAGCCAGAAAGAGAAGAAAGGGAGGGGGAAGGTAACTTTGCCCCATACCCATCTTTTTTACGAAGCATACATGTTTAATGTCACTTCCCTTCTGTACTAGTACCTCCTGTGGAATATGGAGTATTATCCCATTCGTAATGAAATGACCGATATCGTGAAGAATGTATCACAAAACATAGAGCAGGCGAGTAGATTGATAGTTACTGTGTTAGAGGTTGTTGGGCTTTCTGCAGTGCTGTGATGATGGGCAGAGGGAGAAGATTTAAAACTCAAGATGTAGGTACGCTTGGGTGCTGTTACAGGCTCGATGTTCCCTGTGGCAGGCAGAATAGCTGATAACGGGATGTCTGTAGCCTTTATCTTTTCACAGCTCCTGCTGTAGTTTTTTTGTTCCATTAATGAAGACTATTCAGTGCTTAAGTAGGTGCACTGTAATCAGTGCTTCTATGAGTGGTGTATGTCTATATTTTGTAAGCAAATATATCATCTTTAAGCTTACATGACTTAGATGCAATTGTGACCATGCTCATTGCTATAGAGGAAGGATAAAAATAGCCTCTGGAGGAGCCTCCTAAGTTTTCTTTATCCGTTGCCCCTTGTCTGCATACTGAGCTATACTAGCTGCAGGAAGGGCATAGTCTAGGAACATCTCTCTCTTTCCAAACTGGAGAAGCAAAACAGACGAGTCCGTCACCGAGGTCTCAAGACTTCTGTCGGCAGCTTTCCGCCTGCAGAAGACTTTTTGTCAGGCTGAGAGCACCGACTGATCCTGGGGAGCAGCGTGCTCAGTGTATCATGTCGCACGCTCGGCTGTGTGTGCTGAGGGGCTGAGAGCTCACTTCAGACCTTATTCATGTGGATGAGGCAGGCAGCCGAGAGGCTGTGGAGCGAAATGGCCTTACAGATGCTGTCAGAGCATGACTGCGGTACGTGACCAGAGACGCCGCTGTCACTGTCACTAACTCTCCCTGGCAGGGCTGAGCAAGAGTGAGCCTGAACTCCCTCTCTTTTTCTCCTGTAAAAAAGGAAGTGTATAATGAGATTGGGTTTATTTCATTTGACAGCAAATGCAGCTGGATCCCCACAAGCTAGAAATAGGTGGTAAACTTGACCTATTCAGCAGACCTCCCGCCCCTGGAGTGTTTCCAGGCTTCCATTATCCACAGGATCTTGCCAGGCCTCTGTTTTCTACCACAGGTAAGGGAAAATCATCGTTTGTTGCAAAACAGGCAGTATATGTGATGTGTGTCACTACAGCAAGCAAGCAAGCAAGATGGTGCATAGGGATGCCGAGGCCCTGGCGACGGGTGTGACCTGGGCTCTCGGAGCCGCTGGGCTGGGCTCTGCCACCACCTCCAGCGCAGAATCCTCGGCACCTCACCGAGCTGCAGCAGTTGGCTCTTACATTCGTGTCTGTGCAGCTGGTTCTTATGTGTCCTGATTAATAGGCTATAGAGTGATTTTAAAAAGCGATTTTGACAAAATACTTGAAAGTGTTTCCATTGCACAGGATTGGAAGCGGCCCCAGTCTCTTTCTTGCTTTTATGTTTGCTGTGTTGTTCTTCTCAGCTCCTCCACTCATCAAGTTTCTGTTTGTTTTCCAAAAATAAGGGTTTTTTTTGTAAAGAGAAGGCTTCAATAACAGCATTGAAAATATCACAGAAGGTGTATTTGTGAAGTGTTTGGTTTTTAAATATAAAATCCCCCTATGTGCTATGAAGTCCAGCAATCTCTAAGGCTTAAAATGGCGTATTGAATTTAAAAAAAAAAAAAATACAGTTTACATTGATCAATTACATTCCAATCTGTTGGAGAAATAATTACAATTAATGCAATTACCAAAGTACAGTAAGTTTCACTGCACTGTTCTTGGTAGCTCTGACCGTGGAAGACTGCAACTCTGGCATTCTGGTTTTGGAGGTCACTAGTACTATTCTTGTTGATTTCCATCTACCGAATGTTGGGGTTTTTCTCTTCCCAGGGCTTAACTTCTTCCCCTAGACTTTTTCAGATTTTCTTTCTGTGTTTAAGATGCCAAAGTCTGCCTTCTGTATGTTATTAATTGGCAATTATTGCCATTTTCTTTCCTAACTTTACTCTGGTTTTATGATGCAATATTGCCCTCTCATTCTAAGTCAGGGCAGGTGTGGTCATATTCAGCCTTGAACCAAGGCTGTTGAAATGAACAAGGTTAGAAGTGTTACAAATTTTGCCCCAAACATAACAGAAAAGCAACAAATGAGAATTAAGCTGAAACCTCCATGAGAAATGAGTTTGAAATGCAGATGTCGGATAGCCTTCAGGAAATCCACCAGGGGTTCCATTTGTGTTTCCGCCCTTATTTGTGGATGGAAATTGTTAACCATCAAATGCCTGTTGCCACCACATATCATCAGTGCTGATACTAGCTGTACATTGTAGGATACTACCCTGTATTTTAGTCTCTGTAAAGGTATTTTGATAATACAGGGCCAAAACATTTATTGCATCTGCTTGGATGCATAAGCACAGTTGATTTACAAACCTCTGACTCTTTTCCTATGGCAGCTGTTTCCTTATCACTGTCCGCCCTGTGTTGTCATTACAAGATTCTTCTTTCATGTATAGTTTTGCTACTGAAGGCAATATTGGGCAGTCTGCCCTAACAGACAGAAGAGCACCAGTCGAGTTGATATCTTGAGCTTTTTCTCTTAAAGATGCAACCATGGCTTGCTTCTCCATTCATAAAAGCAAGAGGGGAAATACTATGGAATAGGTACATTAAAGAAGGCAAATTAATAGAAAACTTTCTCTAGAGATAAACAACCTTGCAGCAACTTGTCCATGAGTATATTAATCACAAGAGCCATCACACGGTAAATCTAGGTAAAGAGCACTATCAAAGTGAACAAACATTGCAGCAGTAATATAGAGATGAATAAATCTTTTACTCTGCAATATCCGAGGCATTCTTTTCACCTTATCAAACAAGCGTGCAGTTGATGTGAATCATTGGTTCTGCTGCATTGCCTAGTTACTGTGGGAGACATAAGTTATCTTAGGGCCACCTGTCTTCAGGACGGATGTTCAGCTGCCTGGCAGACACTATATTTAATAACTACCTGACAGCCTGCAATGCCGCTCCTGGCTTTCTCCAGAGGATTTTTTATTATCAGCCCGTGTAGTTGAGTTTGTAAGCCGTCTCCTTTGAAGAAATCTCCCATCCATTATACACCCTCTGAAATCTTAAAGGATTAGAAAGATGACAGTCTCCATCCGTCTTGAAGCATTGGAGCAGTCAGAATGTTTATAGATAACTCCAGGTCTCGTTGCCGTGGTCTCTCTTAAGTTTCCTCAACTCATTTTCTGGCTGCTTAGGTTTGTGGTGCCCAAGCTGGTGAGGGACACGCAGCGCTGTCTCCCTCTCCAGTTTTATAGTCTGCTCATGTTCTGGATGCATGAGTGCGTTTTACAACGACTGTCTGTTGTTGGGCTCCATCACCAAGGAAGACCAGTTCAGGGACTGACCAGCATCTCCATAAAATGCTGTTTGGGCTGTGTTTGGGATGCAGTTTCTCCTGTGCATATTTATTTCTTCCTTCTGTTTCCCCCCACTTTTGCTGTGACCTTCCATAGCGTTATCAGCACTGATGATGTATGGTAGAAACGTGCATTTGATGTGGCATGGAGATGAAGGGCAGGAACTTACCAGAGCAGGTCTGCCACTGATGGGAATCATTCATATGGGCCACAGACAAGGCAGAAATATTTGTGGTGAAGATGACAGGAGAGCTGGAGTGCCAGCTGGGAGAAGAAGCATCATAATCCTCTTTTCTATAATAGGAAGTTATCACTTGAGAGAGCGGTGACTGGGTAAGTGAGCTGTTAGCGAAGAGCCCTTGTTCATGCCCAGTAGAGCTGCTGATGTTTGCTAGAGTTGACCTGTTACTCTTCCCAGTATTAAGGGAAGTTAACTTTTTACCAACAAAATACACAAGACGAGCACTGAAAGCTTTATTTAGGTGTTGGTCTATTTTACGCATGACTTAACATGTCCCCGAGAAAGTGCTCCTTCTGTCACTGTGTGGAATTACTAGTTTCTAACAAAATGAGACAGTTAACGCACAGGTATGGCAGGTCTTGCTTTCTGCAAGGCAGGCAGAAGTTGTGTTTGCATCCAGGCAGCACCTGAAAGTTATGATAGTTGCTAATTCCGCTTTGTGTGCAGTAGTGGAAGTACTGGCAGGGAGGAGGCACCGAAAGGACGTTCATAGACTAAACAGTTGGAAAGGGCTGGTCTTGTCAGTGTGGCACTGGAGCCACAGAAACATTTTGTCACACACGTTGGAACATAAATATTCAAAAAGTTGATTTCAGGTGCATCCTGAAAATTGTCTGTACTAATCTTAGGGGGCAAAAGCCAGGCCCATGAGATTTCCCAAAAGTGCTGTCTTTTGCAGGATACATGGGAGTTCATGTTCCTCCAAAATCCAGGTGTCTCAGTGGCTGGTGACACCAGTGCTTTTCACACTGCAGTTGCAAGCGCCCGTTCAGGTTCGCGTGCATCTGCCTGCAAAGGCAGCAAATCTCTCATTTTCTGCTCTGAAAGGAGAGCAGAATTTTCTGCATGAGCCTGGTCCACCTTGAAATACAGGGCAGACCAGCTTGTTTCAGCCCATTCTCACCCCTTGCCTCAACCTAATGCAATCCAGCACGCCCAGCAGTGGTGGTTCTTTCCCAGGAGGTAGCATGGCACTGTGGCATTAAGCAGTGTCTGGGAAAGGGAAGAAAATACTGTGGGGGGAGCCTGTGGATGCAGAGACAGATGTGAGAGCGTAGATGGAGCTCTCATGGGAGAGGCATGATTGATGTTCCCTACGTGCCTGTCATTAACTGGTGTTTCATATAGACTCTAATCAGTCACTTCCGAGCACCTTCTGTCTGGGCCCATAACCTGAGCTGACCCTTTTTAATGTAAACACAGAGTAATGGCTGAAAATGCCAGACAAAGAGATTCACTTCCTCATTACTACAGGTGAGCAGCAGCTCCCTTCAAGGTCTCCTCCTGCCTCCTAGTGCTCACAGGCTCCTGTAAAGGGCACTCGGAGGAGTCTGCCCTGTAGCTCACTGGGCTGGTGTTTGGGGTCTTCCCCTGCCTTTGCTTTGTTTCCATCTGGCCTGTGCCTTTGCGTCTGGTTCTTGGATGCAATGGCGGGACCTCTGCGCACGCCAGCAGTCACTTGCCGCTGAACTAAAAAGGGACCTTGTTCTCACAGGTGCGACACATCCAGCCACCACCCCTTTTGGTCCTTCACCTCACCACAGCAGTTTCCTGCCTACTAACCACTTGGCAGGTAAGTGTAAGTAAACCCTGCCTTCACCTTCATACCTCTGGCCCATTCTTGGCTCTCCGGTGTGGTCCTGCCTTGAGGCACTGTAGCACTAGGGGAGGGAGAGGCTTAAACTGTCTCAGGAACCAGAAGGTAGCCAGCTTCTCACCCATGCAGCTTCCCAACACATCCCCGCTGCTTTTCTCCGAAGGAGAGGGGCAGGATTTGCAGTCTTCTGCAAGAGAAGAGGGCATTGCAGAGCAGGCAAGTCTGTCACTGCTGGGACACTGCACAGGACGTGAAGTGTGACGTGTAGAGCCCTTCTGTGCTGCTGAACATGTCCAAGGAAATGGGGGAAGTGTATGCAAAGGTACCTCAGAGAAGCCACAGCTTAAAATGGGCTCCTCCTGTACCGTTTTCCACCTATGAAAGTTCTTGACTAAGTTCTTGAATAAAGTTCAGTGAACAGTTCCTGGCAAATAGCTGTTGTGCACGTTTTGCCAGCCTTTCAGTTTTCTAAATGACAATAAGTAGAGCCTGATTTTCTCAAATTTTCTCATTTTAGAAGCTCACAAGCAGCTCATTGCCAATTAAAATTCAAGCTCTGTTGATTAACGTTTTAGTAACACTCATCCAATCAGTAAGTGTGGCATGCCACATGACCTAGTAAACTTTTTTTCTGTTGCAAATAACCAGATTTGCATCAATTCCTGAACATTCTGTCAGAACTAACTGTATTTTTAGAGTCACTCAACTACTTAATATCAAAGGGGAAGGGCAAGAACAGCTATTAAAAAATAAGTAAATAAGTAAACAGCTGTTTGCTGAAAGATTGAAGCTATTTATGCTATTTGCCTCGATATTTTAAATACAATGATATCCACGAGGAAGTGGAGAGCAACACAACTCCTTTAACATGGCAAGTTAAAGACCTTAAAGGGACAGTCAAAAAGCCAGTGAACAGAAGGAGGAGTTGTTTAGAGATGACCAGTAAAAAATAAAAGTACACTGATACAGTTTAACCCATCGCCATGCCTGGATTGCAGAAACCTGAGTTGGGCTATACGCTCAGCAAGGAACCTCTTCTCATGATGGATGCCTTTAATGGAAAAAAAAAAAAAAGGCAGGACTTTTTATAAAGACAAGTGCCAGTAGCCAAATAGTCAGATACATGACTAGGAAAGGCAAAATTCATCTTTGCCTCAAAGGATGCAAACCTCCATCCCTTTGTCGTAGTAGCTCCTAAAACTACGCAATCATTTCCACCACTGGGATCAAGGAAGTGGATTTTGGCACAAACAGCCTGAAGTTAGTTGGTGTAAGGATGGATATCCATAGCAATTAGCTTAGGACTGTCTCTGTGCACTATTACAGAGAGGGTGGAAAGCTGTATGCAGAAACAAGAGTGAAACAATGCATCCCCTCAGTGTGCTGCCCAGGGAGCCTGCTGAGGTTCTGCTTTCAAGGCAGTTGCAATGCTTCTACTGTTAGTGCTGATAAGGAAGGAGAGCTATAGCTCCGCAGCAGCCACCCTAATTTCAGCTATTAGACCTTAATTTCTAGCTCCCCTCTGACTGGCATACAAAAGTTTATTACAGCACCTGTTTGCAGAGTGAGCACTGAATCCCTTCTCCATTTTAACATGATGGGAATTTTCTGTGCAAAGAACCTTGCAATGAGAAGGATCAGCTTAAAGTCTGGCCTAATCCTACTTGGATTCAGACCGTTAAGAAGGGGAGGGGTGCGTTTCATTCTCCAACATTCTTGGCTAAATGCCTGCTAAATCCCTGTTTGCCTTTCCAGATCCATTTAGCAGGTCAAGCACCTTCAGCGGCCTTGGGAACTTAGGCAGCAATGCCTTTGGAGGATTAGGCAGTCATGCTCTGAGTAAGTACTGGCTGGGTTACTGCAGACAAACATCCCTTCCAGAAAAGCCACATGCTAATATTTACAGCAGCTGGTGGTAGTTTTTAAAGAAGTTTAATTCCTAACCTCCATTCTGCTATCTGAAAACACTGCACCTAAGATTTCCAGGTCTCTGCGGTGGGAGCTTTTCTGCATGTCACAGACATCACTAGCTGTGCTCAGTGTCTCCTCACTGCTGAAGGTTGGTACCTTGTGTGCTCCTAGAGGTGCTAGAGCTGCGAGACCCCACTGAGCTCTGGGTCCCTATGGGCATCTAAAGTAACACCCTTCAACGGCGAAGATGTGCAGTGGAACAGCTATTGATAATTCTCCTAATTCAGCGTGTAGACTCCCTCTGTAACCGTTGTCTGAAGTTTAAATTACCTGTATAAAATTACTTTACTTCAAAAACATGTTACCTGTAGGCAAGACATGCTTGAGAGCCACATCTAACAGAGCATGCTTTTGCATCTCCTGGTGCAACAGGAATCAGTTGTAGATTGATGGAGGAAAATCAAGTGATTGTTCTAAAAAGCCTACAGCCAAGCTCTGGTTTTATACACACACTTACATACCACCAAGTAGTCTGGTTTCTTTAACAAAAAAGTCCCTGGATCCTCAGCTGCAGGCAGCTGATTGCTTGTAACTACCCACAAATTAAAGTTCTGCCAGTGAGAGGAGCTGAGGAAGAATATTGCTTTTATGCTGGAACCCTTGCCGGGGTGGGGGGAGAAGAGCTGGGCATTTTCAGTCGTCTCTGAGTTACTCAGATGTATGGTTAAAGTTTCCTCTGCCAATAGCCTTAAAAGAGCTGGTGGATCTTTCACCCAGTGCTGGAGGTATCTGTGTCCACCTGCTAGTAGCTCCCCCTCAGCATTAGCTCTTTATTAAAAAGTCTTGAAAGGACAGTTCTGGTTGTGGTTAGCATTGTGCAAAATGTGTATGTAATTCTTTGGTTTGAATTATTCTTAACTCTTCCTCCCCCTGCCGTTATTCTAGCTCACAACAACATTTTTACTCACAAAGATGGCCCAAACCTGCAGAATTTCAGTAATCCCCACGAGCCATGGAATAGACTCCATCGGACCCCACCGTCCTTCCCCACACCTCCACAGTGGCCCAAGCCCACCGATTCCGAGCGAAGCTCCTCAGTGACAAACCATGACAGAGACAGAGAGCGGGAGCGAGAGCCCGAGAAGAGGGATCTTTCTTTGAGTAAAGAAGACAGAGACAAAGAGAGGTAAGCAGCATGTGCTTTTGAGCACTTTCTTCTGGGCCTCTTTTTCCTCTACATTTTTTCTAATTTTCCCAATCTTAAAATCATCTTTAGAGCAAAACGTTGCTTGTCTTTGAAGCAGCTGATAGGCCTCTCCCTCAGATAAGCATAAGCACTAGCAACACAAAAAACCCTCTTTACCTTTTAGAATTTGACCGCTGTGAAAATGTGGTAAGCCAGTCCCTGCTACTGGGTTCGTGAAAAGCACCAGGCTGAGGACATGAGCGTGTCACTGTGTTTTTAGGGTATACTTGGCTGTTTTCAGTGCAACTGCTTTAGGATTGCTGTATATTCTGAAATAACGAAGGTGGCATCGTGGTGGGTCCTTTGGAGTCAGTCATAGTTCTCATTAATGTACAGATATGCTGATGAATTCAAATGTTAGCTGGACATTAACGAGATAAAAATGCAAATGCCTGTATCTGGAGCAGTGTGCATGAATCCATTAGCAAAACTGATTTTAAAAAACTGCACGGTAGACAAACGCTCATTAACGATGACAGGACTGTATCACCTGGGCTATAGATACTTCATTAGCTTCCAGTTGTATGATTTTGAAGCCGTAAAGCCCTTTATATTTCAGAGCCTGGTTGTCTCCAACAAGCTACTTCTTCATAGGTAATAACAGCCTGCAAGTCTTAGATGTGTGTATTTGACTAGTGATAGTTTGTCTGGAGTGCATTTAATGAAGTATTCAGGCGGTGCCTGTGAACAAGATTGTATGGAAGCAATAGGCTGAAAACCATCGTGCTTTAGATGTTAAATGTCAGACACCCTTGCATGGATAGGCCTTCAGATAGGAGGCTCCCTTCTCCACTTTAGTGTAATTCATGTGCAAACCAAGGTTACTTTACTCCCAAGAGTGTTCACACAGAGGTTAACATCTCTATTACATTTCTGTTATTTCAGCTTAAGCAGTCCCCAGCATCCCTGTTTGGACATGGTTTTAATAAACCACGTCCTTGACCAGCAGTCAGGACTACGGCAGAGAGAGAAATCTGGGGTAGCAAATGTAAGGGATAAATATTTACAGAACTCCCCAAAACACCTCCAGCTTTCAGCACGCAGGTCTTACAGCTCTGGAAAGCAAACCCGGCACAAAACTTAGGGAGCCTCTCAGCTGCATAATGCAGTTCTCTCAATCACACCATCACACTTTGCCTTTAAAGTGTCTCTCATTCAGAGCAGAGTGCTTTTAAAAGGTGAGCATTATTTATCCCCCTCTTAAAGAGGTGGGAGTAGCTGTGACTAATTGGCTTGCTCAGAGAGAGGTGCAGTTAGAAATGTAAACCCTCATGCCTCTCTTTCTAAACCAGGAACATTGTCATCAAACCCCTTGTTCCTCATGGCAGGTCCTCTTGAAATGGAGGTGGACTTCTCAGTTTCGTGGCCTATTGGAGGATTTTTTTTCCTTAAGCACCTCGCTTACCTGCCAGAACTGCCAACAATAAAAACTCTCCTGCGGCGAAGCTGTCTTGTGAAGGACCTGCATACGTTTCCGTAGGCTTCTGTTTTGTGTGCCTGGGTCCATGTTTTAGGAAAGGAACCCGATTTAAGAGTGTTACAGCCAAGATCATTGTCTGGCAGCAAGATGTGTATATGAACACACAATAAGCGTCTTTTAAAAAAAACTAAGCTGTCTAGAATTCTTCTTTCCTTATATTTCTCAGTGAAGTGGTCTTTCTCATGGGGTGAATATACTGTTCTTTCAAATGCGTCCCCAATTTAATTCCCAAATTTGCGGACATTTAACTTTTTTTTTCAATGTAGTATGGTAAGGCAGGTAGTGCATATCTTTTAGTGCAGCATCACAGCTATAGCTGATGCTAGCAGAGCTTTTCAAATAATTTTCTGAGCAATCCCGAATTACACAACTAGACACAGCACTATGCACGTCCAGCATCGCATGTGCGTTTGTTCACACAAACCCAAGGATGTATGTTCTCTCTTTTTACAGAGACCTCATGGATAAAAACAGACATTCAAACAGATCCTCACCGGCATCGGCTCCAGTGACACATCAGATAAGCAATCTCATCCGCAGCAACAGCCAAACCTCCAGTGATCCCATCAGGCAGGTTAGCCTTGGAGAAAGGGAAAGGTCCAAAGAACCCGAGCGAGAGCACCCTGATCGGCTGAGAGAGCCGCCCATAGCAGAACACAAGATTAAAGAGAGCCGTTCCCCAGTGAAGGAAACTCCAAGCCATGATAAAAGACCCTCTGAGGACAACACAAAGCCAGTAATCCAGTCTGTATCCCCATACAGCAAACCTGCACTAAGTGAGAGCTTGAAACTTACCAATCTAATGAGCAAGGACATGGAGAGAAAGACAGAGCTTCCCAGCGACCTCCAGAAGATTAAGAATGACATCAAAGTCAAAGAGGAGAGGAAGGAAGACAGTGACGTGCTGGTGGTAGGATCTGAGCCTTCACAGCACTCCCGATCAGTGGAGCATCCCCCACCACCTACTTTGCATGGGTTATCATTGCCTCACTCGATGACTGCCTCTATGCCCATCTCCATGGGCAGCGTGCACCAGATGAACAACATGAATGTCCTGGACCGCAGCAGAATGATGACCCCGCTCATAGGCATGAATCCTTTGTCAGGAAGAGAGAGGCTGCCACATCCCGGATTTTCTTGGGACCCAATGAGGGACCCGTTGCGAGATGCCTACCGGAGCTTAGACCTGCACCGTCGAATGGACTTTCAGCTCCGGACAGATCCTATCCATAGGTTCCCTACCGCCTCTGGGTTTTACGACCATGAGCGTTCTTATAGAGACAGGGAGCCACACGACTATAACCATGAAAACCTTCTTGAAGCCCGCCGAGAGCAGGAGCGGTTGCGGCAAGTAGAGGAAAGAGAGCGCTTGCACTTACGGGAAGAACTCGAGCGTGCCAGAATGCACCACTTGCACTCGTCCCCCATCGAAAGTCACCTGGCACACGTGCCATCCTTCATGCCTCATTTAAGCGGGATGCATTACCCCAGACTGAGTCCATCCACTGCCATGCACAACGGGATTTTAAATAGGAACCCACCAACTGCAGCGCTGAGCGCCCCACCACCTCTTGTACCAGCGAGCAGCACCAGACCTGCCTCCCCACGCAGGACTACTCCACTCACAAACTCAGAGTCCAGGGACTACTCCCCCTCTAGGAACCCCAAAGAAGTAGAGGCACGATAGTCCCCAACATTGAATTTTAAACTTGCCTGTATATAAAACAAACAAACAAACAACAACAACAACAACAAAACAAACAGGAAAAAAAAAACAACAACAAAAAACAAACCTTTTACAAAATGCACTGCTGTAAACTTTTTTTTTTAATGTAAAATTTGTAGAAGTTAAGCACATTTCCATAAATAACGGGGTCGGGGATGCAGACTTTCCAACAAGAAGGTTGCTGAGAATGGGAATTTAATATATAGGTATTGATTTTTGGTTTTGTTTTTTGTTTCTGTGCTAAAAAAAAATGAGTTAAAAATGTCAAGTTTGTACATTTTTTCCCAAATGTGAGAAACATTTTTAATGGATTTGTATTTTTTTTAATTTTGTGCTCTTTATTCACTTAAAAAAAGAAGAAATTTTGCTTTTGTTTTTAGTTAAATTTGCATTTTAAAGGCCTCAGATCCTTAAGAAAAAAATACCCAGGGTTTCTTAAAAGTATTATTTATGGAAATACTGTAGTTTTACAGTCCACTGTGAGGTTCCCTTCTGAGGCCAATTGATCACTTACCTTGGTACTTTGGAACCGAAGTTACAGATATATATTAAAATATTAATAATAATAATAATAATGTACAAAACTGTTTGTTTTTTGCCTTATTATATTATGCAGAAATTTAAGAGGAATTTTTTTTGACTTCTTGTTTTAAACAAACAAAAAAAAAGAAAACAAACTGTAAATATTCTGTTAATATAAATGTACACCAATATTAAATTCTTAACATAGGTAGACTTTATAAAAATGGTTTCTAGAACCACTCTGGTTATTTGTTAACATGGTTACAACTCATACTCTTGTCACAGTCAGAAATTCACTCTCAGAAAGCTAAGTACGGCATATATACTTCAACTATGCAAGAACTCGGAGGCAGGTCTTAGTGGATGTTGGGGGGAGGAAGGGTTAAAAAAAAAAAAAAAAAAAAACAACAACCAACTCGCAACTATGGAGACAGAATGGAAACGGCATGTGAAAAGGAAGAAGGATGCTTGTGTTTAACAAAAAAAAAAAAAGAGAGACTGAATTTTTTGTGCAAACACAAGGGACAGTTCATCAAGGAAAGAGAGAGACACACGCTCCTGGAAGGGAATTTTGGTTTCCTACTTTTCAAGCTGGCAAAAGCAGATGGAACTGGCACAGTACCATGCGGCAGACCCTTTCCTTATTTTTTTTTTCCTTTTTTTTTTCTCTTTTTTTGTGTTGTGGGCAGGATCGCTGGCAAGCAAGGACAATTTTCCGTGGACCCCTTGTGCTAATTGTGCAGTGTTCTTATTGGAATCTGTATACAAGACAAAGTAGAATTTTAGGAGTGCAAAAAAAAGTCTAATGGTTGATTAAAAAAAAAAAAAAGAAATTCTGATATATTATCTATAGTACATGAAGACCATAAGCAAATGTTTGTTTCAGTGTGGTTCTGCCTTGAACTGCTTTTTGGCATGATTTATTTTTTATTTCCAATTTTACTTTTCATCCATATGTAAATTTTGCCATGTTTTACTTGCTGTACCATCCCCCCTCCCTTATTTTATTTTTCAGTGTCCATGTTTTATATATCCTGGGCTTTTTCTCTCTAGTTAATTCAGCCATCCGCTACTATTTTCTTGGCTCTGTAACTCTTGTTTCCCCCCCTCCCCATCCTCCCCCCTGCACCCCCTGTAATTTTAAACATTCAGTTTCCTTGTAGATCAATGAAGATAAATACAACATTGATTTTGGATGAAAAAGGTAGTCGAGTGTTTGTGTGTCGTAGCCGGTGCTGTTGGCTTGCAGGCTG